AGGAGCTGAGCGCCCATCCACACGAGCACCTCTACGACCCCAGCGGGCAGGTCGGGCTGGTACCCGTCCTATGCAGCGCGCTGCCCTCCCTCTGGCTCGATTGCCCAGGACACTGGGTGGGCCAGCAGGAACTTCTGGCAGGTCCCTGGCCAGCTCAACACGCCGCGATCCAGGCGGCCTGTGTCCAGGACCCTATACCGCCCTGCCGAACTGGCAGCAGGAATTGCCGGAGCAGCGGTTCCAGAAGAACCACTGGGGCCATGTTGCAGCCCTTCAGGCACCCGCTGCAGGAGCTGACCCAGTGCAGGCTGACGGCCGGGCCATTGCTGCACCTCGCGTAGCCAACCAGGTCGACCAGCGGCCTTGCCCTCAGCTCATGGAGGACACGGGACGGCGGGTGCCGGTGGGCAGATGGCTCCGCGGACCTGCCGCGCCGCATCCGACCGGGGCGGTCGGCGCCTGTGTTGGCGGGGGCCACGGCGGCCCTGCGCCTGCGCCTGGGCGAAGGCGGGGCACCGCCACGCCGCGGTAGGGACGCCTGGTGACTCTTCTTCCATGCTGCCTCAAGCGCAGCCTTGGCTCTCTGCCCCCGGGTGGTAAGGGGGGCGGATCGTTCCTTCCCATTTTGCCAAGTCCAATACACGAATGGGTCTTTGTAGTCGTTGGGGTCTGCAAAGGCACTGAGTGGGCTGTCTCCAAGCTCGCGTGTTAACAGGTATCGGGGGCTTTGGCGGCACCGTTGGCCCTTCCAGAGGTGTCCTTTTTCCTGTAGTGCCTGGCATGGGCCAGCGCGCTCGTTTTGCGCATTCTGCTTTGCATTCCAGGCATTGTCCAGCTGTTGGCCTCTTCAAGCTTGAGTACGGCGGACGTCTCAGGCGGGAGCCTCGCTTCAAGGAGTGGGCGGTGTGTGGCTTGAATCTTTCTTTGGGGGGCTGCCTGTCGGGCCATGCACTTGTCCAGGTCGTGGCCCAGGTCCTGGATGCCAACGGCCGCAGGCGCTGCTCGGGCGCTCAGGGGGCTGGCGCCGAGACCCCGCCCAGGCGTCGCCTTGTCACGCGGCGGCGGCCTTCCGGGGGGGGGGACCACTGCCCCATCCCGAGTCCTATGTTGCTCCCATCGTACTTGAGGACCACATGCCAGAAAATAATTTCGAGCACCCAGAGAAGTGTCGAAGCAGTGTCGAACGAGTGTGCCCCAGTGCCCGACACGTGAAGACCCTCGAGCCTCGATGGTCTCTTGGTGCTCGCGAAATTCTCTCGGGTGCTCCAGGCCAAGGTAGGCTGGAGCACCATGACCCGAGCCAGGACCACGCACGACGGAGGGCTCGCGCGTCCCAGCTTCGGAGCTGGCAGCCTGCGCAGCACCGCCGGGCATCCCAGGCCTCACCTGCTTGCGGGCGCGGACTCCCGCCGGGGCCGGCCGCCAGGCCGCACGCCGGGCCGCGACTCGGCGCGTCGCCCCCGCGCCCCGCGTCCGCACGGGGACGTGCACGCGCCCAGCGGGGCGGCCCCACGCTCCCATGCCAGGGTGGGCTCCGCGGCGGCGCGCCCGTCGCGCTGCCCTCGGTACCCCATCGCGCGCCGCGTGCACGCCGAGGCGGTCCTCCTCGGTGCGCCGCCGGGGGGTGGTCGCGCCGACGATCGCCGGGCTGCGGGGGCCGCCTGCGGCAGAAGGAGGTCTGCCGGGCGGGTGCTGCCAGTCGGTTTCATCAGCCTGCATCCGGAGGGAAGTGGACGACGCGCATGTCGCTCGCGCTCGGGTGGTGGCTTGCTGTCCAAGGCACGCAGGAAAATGGGGAGTTTGACGTCGTCCGGTGTCGGTTCCCCCTGGATGCCGTAATTATTCGTCCCTCTGGCACCCGACGGAGTGCCACCGGCAGTTCGCACCCCGCCCGTAGGCTGTCTTCCTGTTGGTTGCCAGGAGCTGACGGGTCTCGCTGCTGACCCAGGCACCTTCTTCTGGGTCGAAGCTCCTGTTGCAGCAGGTCGCGCCCCGAGCTGGGCGCGCCGCCCCCAGCTGCGAGCACCAGGTACTCGAGGACGATCAACGAGGCCTTGAGGGGAAAAGTCGCTCCTGCCCAGGTACTTCCACGTAATCCAGCACGCATGCTGCCTTGCCATGGGGTGGAGGTGCGACACCGCCACCAGCCTGCCCACCGCTCTGAGCAGCGCCTCCAGAGGTCCTTGAAGGGCCCGGGCCCTTGGGGTCGGCGCCATGGACGGCTCCAAACTGATCGCGGATGTGCAGGCGGGCCTTCTTCCAAGGGTCGCAGAAGGCCAGGACGGCCTCCCAGACATCCCCAGCCAGCCCAGGCTCGCCCTAGGGGAATATCGGGCCGGGCGAAAGGGGGGTATTGGGAAAGGGAGGATTACGAAATTTGCACCGAGGGGCCCATTCCTCGATACATAGCCGCTTCCGTCGCCGGGAGGCGCCGGGAAAATCAGCTGCGTGAGCTGATTCTCAAACCGCCCCTTTGCTATCCCCCCTTTTCGCCCGACCCGAGAACAGCAGCAGGCGGGGCTCCTGGATCATGATGGGCATGACCACCAGCACGTCGCTGATGCAGAGGGAGCCGAGCGGGCTCCCGTGTGGGCCCAGCGGGCAGCCGCGGAGCCCGGCCTGCGGCGCTGCTCTCCCCAGGACTGCCTGCGGGTGCTCGACGAAGGGCCGCCGCATGCGCTTTTGACAACCGCGCGTGCTACGGCTCCAGCCAGTTGGGGGTCGTCGCGGCGTGCCGGGCGGGACGGAGTCCTCTTTGCGGCGCCGCTTGCGCGACGTGCCAGGAAGGAGGGGGAGGAGGAGGAGGAGGAAGAGGAGGAGGAGGAGGAGGAGGAGGAGGGGGAGGAGGGGGAGGAGAGGGAGGGGGAGGGGGAGGAGGAGGAGGAGGAGGAGGAGGAGGAGGAGGAGGAGGAGGAGGAGGAGGAGGAGGAGGAGGAGGCGGGGAGGAGGCGGGGGGAAGCTGCTCCTCAGGGAGGGCTTCGCTGTCGTCGGGTGCCGGCGGAAGGCCGGCCGGCTGCTCCAGAGCAGCCCAGGAGGCCGTGTCGGCGTGGTCGGTTGGGCCGAGTCCCAGCTCCAGGTCGTAGAAGAATCCGCTGTGGCTGAGTAGCGTCCTGCAGTGCTCAGCGAGGTCGACTGGCACGACGCCAGGGTCGTATGTGTGCGGGCGGAGGCTCATTACGTGGTGGAGCACGGGGGCCAGGGCAGGGTCCATCAGCAGCCTGGTGCCCGCCGTCTGGGGGTGCTCAGCCAGGTGGTTCCAGTTGTGGTCCTCGGGCAGGGGGGGGTCTACCAGGGAAGAGAAGCTAAGCTCCTGCTGGTCACGTATCTTCGCCAGCTTCTGTTCCCTGGCCTTCTGCTCCCTCTCCGCCGCGAGCCTCTCGGCGTCCTCCGTAGTGGCCTCGTCGTGCACGGAATCACCAGGGAGGGAGTCGGGCACAAAGGCGAGGTCCTCTCGAAGGTTCTGCTGATTTCCGACTGCCTCTGGGTCCGCGAATCAGCGGCATATTCTAACTTCGAGACCCCAGCGTGCTAGCACGTGTAGCTAGGACGCGCATGCGGCGCTGAATATCTTGCCACTGCCGACAAAAACGACGCCCGCCTTGCTCCTGGTATATTTCACATTGATCCTGTTGCGGTCGTCCACGGAGCCCCAGGTGTAGCTGCTGTTGGCCCGTGTGATCCCAATAATCACCTTGGCTCGGGTCGATCGTGTAAATATCGATCAGACCCTCCTGGAACAGCTTGAGACATCGGTCCTCCAACCCCAGGAAGCGCAGCGCCAGGCCGGTCGCCCTGATCATGCTCTGTCTGAAGACTGTTGGGCCCGCCTGGCGGCCAAAAACATAGAATGCCAAAATCATTGATCAACCGGAGCTTTTCGAGGGAGTTGGGCGTCTCTGGGGCGTTCGTGGGAGGTCCGTGGCCATTTGGAGGAATATTGGGGCGATCCTGGGCCGTATTGGCGGCTATTTTCAGCCATATTGGACTGTGTTGTGCCATCTTGGAGGCCGTCTCGGACATCATGGGACCTCTCGGACATCCTGGAACCCGGTTGGACCCATCTTGGGCCACATTGGCGCCCTAACCCCTCGCGGGGCGAAGGCTCCGGACCCAGGGAGAGGGGGCAGGGGGAGAGGCAAGCCTCCTCGCGAAGGAGAAGAAGACGGTTGGAAAGACGCACCCGCAAAGAGACCTGCGCCCTAGAGGGCTGCTGGGATTACCAGCTTCGGCGGAGCTGTCGCTGCTCCTCCTCCTCCTCCTCTTCCTCCTCCTCCTCCTCCTCCAACCTCCTCCTCCTCCTCCAACCTCCTCCTCCTCCGCCTCCTCCCTCCTCCTCCTCGTCCGGCTCTCCTCTTCTCCTCCTCCTCCTCCTCCTCCTCCTCCTCCTCTCCTCCTCCTCCTCCTCCTCCTCCTCCTCCTCCTCCTCTGCGTCGTAACATTCGGTGTGCCTCAGATTCGCTATATGCCAAGCCTGGCCATGGGGTTCTTGCGCATGCAGCCGTGTTCTCTCGGAACGTGGCTTGTATAGTTGGTGTTGCGTCCTGGAGCTGACCCTCACGGGAGTGGGTCATACCATCGTTGGCGAGAAATTGGCGTTCTTTGTTTTGTGCGAGCTCGCTCCGAGGGAAACGGAAGCGACTCGCTCAGCCAGCTGTCGCAGCGATAGTCTTGGCGACCACAGGCAGTCCTTCACGCGCTGCAGGCTTCATAGCATCGGCTCCTCCTGCCCCTCCTCCCCCATCCGCGACGCGAGTCAGTAACCTTTATCCGATCCCCAGCCCCATCCCCATCCCTTTCGAGACCCCCACCAAATTACCACCTCGGTTGGGGATACACCCGTCGAAACCCGGAGGGAACGGCCTATATCCCCATCCAGGGGGGAAAATCGGCCAGTGGGGCCCAGGCCACGCCGCTGGGGATGGGGATCGGTGAAACGATCTTCAGCAAGAGGGCCACCCGCGAGAGGGCCCCCCCACCCCCCACCCCCCCAGCCGCGCGAGGGCCACCCGCCGCCGCGCCCAGCGCGACGACGGCGGCCCCGCCGACGCCAAGCGGCCGCGGCAGGCGCGCGGGGACCCCTCCGGTGTCTCGCAGGCCCGCGGCGGGCGACGCGGGGGCACGATGATTCGGCATCGCTCGGACGTGTGCATTTTTCCTCCGGCGAGGACCATCGAGGAGCATCCCTGCTCTTTTGGCGACACAACCACACACGAAACTGCAGAAAGCACAGGACATGGACGCCCGAGCGCTGGCGAGAGGAGGCCTCGGGCTGCGCGCAGACGGCCCCTCCGGGCAGTGGCCCCGGCTGGCCTCGGCGGGCCCTCGGAGCAGCCCCGGCCTGCCTCCACGGGCCCCCCCGAGCAGTCCAGGGCGGTCCCGGCAACCCTGCGGCGCGGGGCGCCCCAACGGGGCGCCGCCGCAGGCGGCGTCAGGGCGTTGAGACCGCCGCGGGCTCTCCGGGGGGGAGGGGTCGAGGCCAACTGGGAATGCACGGGGGGCGTGTTGAGGCCAGCTGAGCTGTCTTGGCGGGTGTCTGTGCGCAGTCCGAAGCGTTACCAGCGGAGCGTTGGAGCCACTAGAGTTTTGAATCGTTGCGCTGTTGATCATGATTGCGCGCAGCGTCTTCGTGGGAGTGCGACAGCGCACAACTGTACTACTTTGGCGCGAGGTTCGCTGCGGACAGGTGGGGGCGCGAGCATGTGCAAGCAAGCACGCGCCGTCCGTGGTTGAGGTTCGAACGAATGAACACATCCGACGGGGTGCGCTTTGGGACCACGAGCTGTTGCCTATCCGCGCCGAAATCACCCAAACAGCATCCAAAGTTGTTCATGCTTCACGAATCCCCGCCAGCCCATTCAGAAGCCCTGCCCACGAGAGCTGACGGGAAATTGGAAAGCAGGGACGCATATAGTGAAATAGAGCGTTCAAAGAGAAGAGGGGGAGGAACGTGTTGAGCCATGTCGGAGACTATCTTGGAGTATCGGAGGTCTTCTTGGAGCTATGGAGCTGTTTCGGGGCGTCGCGGGGTCCTCTTGGAGCTCTTTTGTGGCATCTTGGGGCCTTCTTTGGGCTCTTTGGGGGGTCGTGGGGTCCTCCTGGGGCTCGTTTGGGGCGGGGGGTCCTTTTATCTAGGTCCCCCCTGAGAGCTCCCAAAATCGCTTCTGGGGGCCATCTTGGGGCGATATTGGGCGCTCTTGGGCCCCGTTTGGGGGGCCTCTTGGGCCCCTCTTGCACCTCTCTTGGGCCATTTTGAGACCTCAACAGCGCATCGGAAGCGAAGAGGCGAGAAGGCCAAGATCATCGATTTGCATTGGGTTGTTGAAGGATGCTTGGCTTCTCGGTTGTTAGCTATCTAAAGCCATGTTGGGCTACCTTGAGCGATCTTGGAAGCCATCTTGGGCTCTCCAGGGCCCCCATTGGAGCCATCTCAGGCTGTCTTGGGCGCCCTGACACCTCGCGAAACCCCCCGTCCAGGTCCAAGGGAGAGGGTAGTGGTAGGGGCAAGCCCCTCCCCGAAGGGGAAGAACTTGTGGAAGAGGAAAACACTACATTGTTAGACCGCCTCCGCCCAGAGGGCTAACGGGATTTGGTAATCAATGGAATCGGATCGGTAATTTCTTCCGCGCGATGTGGTTCTGACGACTGTTGTTTCTTGTTTCCGTACATGGATGGCGTCGGGGAACGAGGCGCGGCGATTCTGCCCATCCAGATCCAGTGTACCCGCGGGACTCAAGTGCCTTCTGGGTCAATATGGTCATGTGCCGTCTCGATGACCACGGCTCCCCGAGGCGAACTTCCAGAAGCGCGCCCTTGCTCTTTACAGCGACGCGGGGACAAATCGGACATTCGGATCAACGGTGTAGCGTATACACACATAAGTTCAATCATGATGTGGTCATACCGATCCCGTGTTTCGAAGTTGGTGGTTCCGCGTTGGAAGAAGCTGCATCGCGAAACTGATCTGTCTTGACCACTATCGTGTCCTTCGCAGCGCATGGGTGTCCGCACTTTGTCGGCAAATTCATCGAATGTTGAGTCGGTTGATGCCGGGGCGCGGCGCGGCGCACAAAACGCCCAATGTGCGTTGGCATGATTTCAGTATTGGCTAACGTGTTACCGCTTGTACCATAGTTCGTCCCCGAATGCCGGATATCATGTACATACCACCAGTTCCGTGGCGAGCGTTGTCGAAAATGAATGTGAAGATTTCGGTGATGCAAGATGTCGCATGTTGAAATCAATGCATGTACACAATCATCGCTATTTGTGTGTATACATACATACATACATACATACATACATACATACATACATACATACATACATACATACATATATGCATATAACACGGGGGATTGGGTCCAGGGGGCCGGGGGCCGGGGCCCCGACCGCAAATGCGGGGCCCGGAGAGCCAGCCCGCCTCTGGGAGGCCTAAAGTCGCCCTGGGGAGCCCTCAGACAGCAGTCCCGGCGGCCCCAGACGGTCTCGAGACACCCCCAAGACGCCGTCCAGGGGTCTTCTGGCGACGCACAATACGTTTTAAACTGCCCCGGAGGCCCCCAAGACGCCCCAAGAGGCCTTTAAGATACCGCCGAAGAGCGCCCCAAGAGGGCAAAATCGTTGATTCCCATGGGTTTTGTTTTCCATGTTTTTTGCATTGTCGTCGGTTCGTGCTTCTGGCGCTAAAGCACCGCCCAAGAAGCCCCCAAAACCGCTCCAAGACGGCCCCAAGACGGCCCAAGAGAGCCACGAGACGGCCCCAGAGCCGCCCAAGACGGCGCAAGAGGATCCCAAGAAGGCCCCAAGAGGGGCCCAAGAGAGGGAACGCGAACTGAAAAAGCAAGCTCTCCGCCCCAAGATGCCCCCAAGAGGTCCCAAGAGGCCCCCAGGAAGCCCCCAAGAGGCCCCACGAGGCCCCCAAGAGGCCGCACGACGCGTTTTAAATTGCCCTGGAGGCCCCCAAGATGCCCCAAGAGGCTTTTAGGATGCCGCCCGAGAGGGCCCCGAGAGGGCAAAATCGTTGATTTCCCTTTTTTCCATGTTGTTTGCATTCTCGCTGTTTCGTGTTTTCGACGCTGAAGCACCGCCCAAGAGGTTCCCAAAACCGCTCCAAGAGGCCTCAGAGGCCCCCAAGGGGGCCCCAAGACGGCCCAAGAGAGCCCCGAGACGGCCCCAGAGCCGCCCACGACGGCGCAAGAGGGTTCCAAGAAGGATCCAAAAGGGGCCCAAGAGACGGAACGCGAAGTGAAAAATCAAGCTCTCCTCCGCCCCAAGATGCCCCCCAAAGGCCCCCAGGAAGCCCTCAAGAGGCCCCACGAGGCCCCCAAGAGGTCGCACGATGCGTTTTAGACTGCCCCGGAGGCCCCCAAGAGGCTTTTAGGATGCCGCCCAAGAGCGCCCGGAGAGGGCAAAATCGTTGATTTCCATTGTTTTGTTCAAGTTGTTGTTTGCATTCTCGCTGTTTCGTGGTTCTGGCGCTAAAGCACCGCCCAAGAGGCTCCCAAAACCGATCCCAGACGGCCCAAGAAGCCCCCAAGACGGCCCAAGAGAGCCCCGAGATGGCCCCAGAGCCGCCCAAGACGGCGCAAGAGGGTCCCAAGAAGGCCCCAAGAGGGGCACAAGAGAGGAGACGTGAACTGAAAAATCAAGCTCTCCGCCCCAAGATGCCCTCAAGAGGCCCCAAGAGGCCCCCGTGAAGCCCCCAAGCGATCCCGAGAGGCCCCCAAGAGGCCCCAAGAGGGCCCCAAGAGGGCCCTAAGACGGTCCAAGAGAGCCCCGAGACGGCCACAGAGCCGCCCAAGACGGCGCAAGAGGGCCTCAAGAAGGCCCCAAGAGGGGCACAAGAGAAGAAACGCGAACTGAAAAATCAAGCTCTCCGCCCAAAGATGCCCCCAAGAGGTCCCATGAGGCCCCCGGGAAGCCCCAAGAGGCCCCCAAGAAGCCCAAAAGAGGCCCCAAGACGGCACCCAAAAGGCTTCAATTTTTTTCTCAGAGGCCCCCGAAGACATGCCAAGAAGGTCATGACAACTTTCAGAGGCGGTCCAGGATGCTCCGAGGAGGCCCCAAGAGGCCCCCAAGAGACCCCCAAGAGGCCCGACCTCAAGCAGCAACCAGGAGGCCAGAAAGAGGCCCCCAAGAGCGCAGCGGTCCAGGCAGCGGCCGAACGAACATTTCCAGCCTTGGGCTCCGGGAAGTCTTACAGGAAGCCCTAAGAGTTCCACCGTCCAGCCCAGCTAGAACTTGAGCGCGCGCGAAGCGCGTGCGATGGTGCTACTAGTCATATATGCAGATATACAAACATGCATGCATAAACACATTTTCCTCTTCCTATATTTGTATAAGCCCAGGCGGGGGGAAAACCCGTCACCCCCCCCCAAAAAAAAACGAACTCCCGGGATCTGGGGCTTTGGGACCCTCCGGACGGGCCTCGAAGCGGCCCCCCTGGCCTCGCAGGGCGTTTTGCCAAGCCTTCCCAGCACACCTAGGGCGATCAGGGGGGTCATCGGAGACGTCTCAGAGACCCCCATGACAGCGCAAGGGCGCTCCAAGAGTGACCGACGTGTCCTCAAGATGGCCCAAGAGGCCTCCAGGACGGCCCCAAAGAGGCTTCCAAGAGCACTCTCAAGAGGCAAAAATCATAGATTTTCTGTCAGATTTTGGTGAATTCTGGGGTTCTCCTTTTTTCGGCTTCCCGACGCTCCAAGACGGCGGTCTTCGGGGCGTCCGAAGCCGCCTGGGAGGCTCCAAAATCGCCCCACAAACATCCGAAAGGGCTTCTAGGCAGTCCAAGAGAGCCCCAAAACGGCACAACACGGGTCCAAGATGGCCCTCAGAGACCCCCATGGCGGCCCAAAATGGCCCCAAGACACTTTCCGAAGCATTCCAAATCGTGACCCGGTCGTTCAGGGAGACCGTGGTTGGAGGCAGGGTGGCCCGAGGAAGCCCCCAGAGGCCCCCAGAATACGCCCAGGAGGCCTCCAGAAGGCCTTAAGAAAGCCTCAAACCAGTTTTTTAGGCCCCCAGAGGCTCTCCCAGGAGGAGCCTCCGCAAAAAAAAAGCTGAGGAAGATAGGGAGAATGCGCAGGGTATCGCGAACATGAGGAAAAAGAAGCATGGAGGAAGGATAACGAATAACATTATTATAGCGGCGATGCCGGAAAAGGCAACAAGGAGTTATCGCTGAATTGTCGGCTTGACCTTCCTGCTATTCCGCCTGCACACCAAACTTCAAGGACCAAGGCGCATGGCGCGAAGCGCCAATGCAGTCTTGTATATGAATAGCTATATATATACACATACATACATACATACATACATACACACACGCACATGTATGCATACACACATGCAACTGTATATACACACATTTATATGTGTGTGTGTCTGCGCTCGTGCGTGGGAGACTAGATTCTAGATCCGTACGAAGCTTTAGACACGCTCATATTGAAACACCCATCCTTATACGTCACTAGTTATCGGATTAAGGGCCGAATATTCACGTGCTACTATGAACCCATTACATCTAGGTGTAAGTACGTAGTACTGCGCATTGTATATACATATTCCGTTTCTGCGTTTCCGTGCCCGTCAAAAATGACCGCTAGAATGATCAAAAAATGGTATTGTATCGATATTAGTTCTTGCTACAGTGTGAGATTATCCAACCTCTCAAAATTCTAGACGCTTCGCGTAACCCCACCAGCCCATCCAGAAACGATGCCCAGAGGAAGTGCCTCGATCAGGGAAGTGGGCAGCACACAAAGGAAGGGTACCCCAGTGGAGGCCGGTTGGAGCGTCTTAGGGGCCTCTTGGCGGTCCCGGACGCCTCTTAGAGCGTCTTGGGTGCTTTGGAGAGCTTCTTGGGGCCTCTTGGGGATCTCTTGGGGGCCTCTTGGAGGCCTCTGGGGCGCTTGTTGGGGCCTCCTGGGGCCTCATGGGCGCCTCGTGGGGCCCTCTTGAAGCGCTCTTGGGAGTCTTCAGAGCGCTCTTGGAGCCCTCTTGGGCCATCTTGGAGTCATCTTGAAGCCTCGGATGGCCATCGGAAGCGAAAAGGCGAGAAAGCCCAAAATGTTGATTTTCCGAAGGTTTTGGAAGGATTTTGGCCTCTTCGGGGCCTCCTGGGGGAGCTCTTTGGCCACTTGGAGCCGTCCTGAAGCGGTCTTGGGGCCTCTTGGAGCATCGTGGGAGCCATCTTGAGGCATCTTGGGATATCTTGAGCCATCTTGGAGGTCATCTTGGGCTCTCCCAGGCGCTCTTGGAGTCATCTGAAGCAGTGCCACCCCCCCCAGGAGGCCCAAATGTGGCCAAAACCTTAGTAAAATCAATGATTTGGGCATTCTCGCCGAGGCCTCTTGGAGCGTCTTGGGTGCCTCTGGGGGGTCTCTTGGGGCCTCGTGGGGGTCTCTTGGGAGCCTCTTGGGGGCATCCTGGGGGCCTCTTGGGAGCTTCTTGGGGCCACATGGGGCCATCTCGGGGCCTTTTGGGGCCTCCTGGGCGCCTCTTGGGGCCTTCTTGAAGGAGATCGATCACAGGAGGGAGGGTCCCAAATTAGCCTCCCCCCCCCAGGAGGCCAAAATGGAGCCAAAACCATTCTAAAACCAATGAGCTTGGCTTCCTCGCCGAGGCCGTTTTGGACGCTCCAGTGCGTCGAGGAACCCCCCGTCCAGGTCCAGGGGAGCGGGAAGGGGGAGGAGTCAAGACTCCTTCCCCGACCGCAAGCCGCCTCGCTCACTCCCACCCGCCCTCCCAACACATACGTAGCACCCGAGCTTGGCCCGAGCCGCAGCATATTCAGCAGTCGTCTTTGGATGGGCAGCTACTGGGGGCCGATCCGCCGCCGCCGCCGCCGCCGCCGCCGCCGCCACCGCGGCCGCCGCCGCCCCCGCCGCCGCCGCTGCCACCGCCGCCGCCACCGCCGCAGCCGCCGCAGCCGCTGCCCCCGCCGCAGCCGCCGCAGCCGCCGCCGCCACGTGTACTCTGTATTGGTTTTTGACAGGGGTGGTAGGGGGAGGCCGCATCGGGTTCGCTGCGCATGCTCCGAATTTGGAGGCAGAGTGTGGTTTGTATTTTTGTTACAAGGGATGGTGGGGGGGGGCGCATGGTTTCGGGTTGGTTCCCAGTCGCCAGGGGGGGGTGTATACTAATAGGGAACAGTGGTACACCCTCCCCGAAGGGGAAGTAGGAGGGGCAACAGAGGAAACACTCTACACCACCTACGCCCAAAGGGCTGGTTGGATGACCTAGATAACGATTATAGGCTACAAGTACTCGGATCCCACCAGCCCTTTGGGCGTAGGTGGTGTAGAGCGTTTCCTGTGTTACCCCTCCTACTTCCCTTTTCGGGGGGGGGGGTTCTCACTGTTCCCTATTAATAAACACCCCGTCCCCCAGGCGACTGGTAGCCAACCCGGAACCATGCGGGAGAATGAACACACGGTCCACGTCGGGTCCGACCCCGACTCCCGAGCGCCCGATTACGGTTGGGCAAGCGTCATGTTCTCTTAACATTGCAATTGATGCACATGCATGATAAGGTGGAGGGGAGGGGGCAACACCAGAACCTTCACCCAACCCCCACCCCTACGACTGACAGTGGGAAATCTACTAGACAGGCAGGAGAGCGATATTTTGGGCAGAATTCAATCATGGTTGTGTTTGTGCTTGTGCTTGTGATGTTGCCTTTACACACACACGGGTACATAGACATGACCGGGTGCAGATTTCAACCTTACTATGGATATGCATTGTCTTATGCTTGGTTCATGGGGTAGGGGCTACAAGTAGCTCGATGGGCGAGCCATTTCAATACTTGCAGGGTCTCAATGGTTATTATTTGGATCACATGTGTCATCAATTGGTTTACGACCGGGTGCAGATTCCAACCTTACTCTGGATATGCATTGTTTTATGCTTGGTTCCTGGGGTAGGGGCTACAAGTAGCTCGATGGGAGAGCCACTTCAATACTTGCAAGGTCTTTCAATACTTTGCTCTTGGCTTCACTATTACCAATTCTGGGTGATTACAATTCTTCTGGTGGTGTGTGTGCGGGTGGCCCTTGGGAGTGGAGGGGCCCGACCTGCGCCACACGGCCCTTGGAACACGAGCTTCCAGACCCGGGTTTTCCGAACCCCGAAGGGGTTCCGGAGGGAGGCGACGAAGACTCGGAAGGCTCGGAAGAGGGGGGCTCGCAAGCGGCAGCCGTACGATGCACGAGCGGCCCGACGAGCAATCCAACGATTACGAGCAGTCCCACGAGCAATCCTACGAGCAGTCCTGCGGCTGTGGAGTGCGACCCAGCACAGCACAAGCAGTCCCACGACGACACAGCACAGCACAAGCAGTCCCACGACGACGCAGCACAGCACAAGCAGTCCCACGACGACACAGCACAGCACAAACAGTCCCACGACGACGCAGCACAGCACAAGCAGTCCCACGACGACACAGCACAGCACAAGCAGTCCCACGACGACACAGCACAGCAATAGCAGTCCCACGACGACGCAGCACAGCACAAGCAGTCCCACGACGACGCAGCACGACACTGCACAGCACATGCAGGACCACGACGACACAGCACAGCACAAGCAGTCCCACGACGACGCAACACAGCACAAGCAGTCCCACGACGACACAGCACAGCACAAGCAGACCCACGACGATGCAGCACAGCACAAGCAGTCCCACGACGACAGCACAGCCACTCATCATGGATGCTGCCGACGGTTCCGGAGGGATTCAGACGGACACCCAGCCGTTGCAAGTCGATGAGGATGGTGGTGCGGCCCACGAGATATGGGAAGAAGTAAATCTATTTGTTGACTTCATTTCCAAGGCCATCGCTGTTTTATCGATGATGCATGCCTCAGTTTTTCTCGGAGGAACGGATGAAGACCGACATGGTAATCATATCCGTATATTTCCCGACTGTGACGAAACAATTATGCCAGATCTTGCCGCTACGACGCCGTACGACCACAAGGCACCCGCGCGTCCGGATTTACTCTTTCCGAGGGTCGGGTCCTTACCAAAATCTGACCGGGGGCCTAACGAGGCCGGCGCCAGCGAGCTATCACCAAAATCTGACCAGGGGCCCCAGGAGGCGGGCGCCAGCGGGCTATCGTACTCTCTGTGTGATGGACGACTCGACTTTCGTGCCGGGACAAGGCGCGACGCGGGTCAAGGGGGCAGCCGAGCCACCGCACGTCAGCGGAGAGAGAAGCAGATTGCATCCATCGTCTCCGCAATCCTGGCCAGTGACAAACCACCAACAAAGAAGAAGAAAAAGACAAAAGCCCGAGGTTCACCGCCACGGACAGCCGCACCGGGACCAGCACCGGCACAAGCACCAGCACCAGCACCGACCACAAAAACTAGCCTATTGACCATTCTGCAACAAGCGGTGGCGCAGGCACCCAAGAACACCAGCGACGAAGCAATCCTGGACCGACTAGAGGAGCTCTTCGCCGTTCGGAGGACCTAACCACCCACGACCACACCGCCGCGTAGAGGGCGATGGAGACAAGATGCGGCCAACCAGAGCACAGCCACAGGTCAGCACTCACCATACACTGGTTCCAACCAGCCGGCTCCGACCCGTAGGTGGGAGGTGGATGAACGACGTTTCCCTGGCAAGCAGTTCTCGGGGGCCACGCAGGTCCTAAACGCTTTCCGAGGAGGCCGGGCACCTGACGGCGACGTTGTAGTGCTGAACACGGTCCAGAAGCAGGAGGCGGTAGAACTGGCCCAAGTACACGGGTAACAGAAGAGCATGACCGTAACTGTGTCTGACACACCTGACAACGACTAAACGACGGCAGCTAACACATCCCATTGGGTAGCGGTCGTCAAAGGAGGCTGGCCGAGCATGAAGAAATTGGAGTGCACCACCCTTCAAGGGGCCAAGGCTGACGCACCGAAACACGAAGTGAAAGGCCCTGAGCCGCCTGCTGTACGTGCCACGACCACGGTACGTGTGACAATGGTCAAAGAATTCATGACAGATGCGCAATGGAGGACAGCCCCCCAGCGGCCCGGCGCCGTGGCGACTGGAGATCTCGATAAGGACGCCATCGTGGCGGCGGAAGCCTTCTCTGATGTCCTCGAAGCAGGAAAACTGGTAGCCCTGACTGGGTACCCCACGGTCGCCGCGGCTGGGCTGGCCCCAATGCTCGCCGCTTCCGGAGCCCACGGTCGCTTCTACAGGGTGTTTTCGAAGGACCGTTCGGGCCCAGACACACCAGTCCGCTGGATTGAACGGTTCGACGACGCGAACTTCGACTACTATCGCCGCGTAGAAGGTCTGAGGGCGTCAACGACCAATGCATCAATAGTCTTCCGGAATGGAGGAGGAAACAACCTCGGTGTGGTGGGGATCGACGTGGACGACACGCAGGCAGTTACGACCCGACCGGCGGCATGGCGGATCCTACACGTCCCACGTACATGGACAGCCCACGAACTCAAAACTTGGCTATGAGCAGCCAGGTGGACAGAAGTAGAGGTTGAATCGCCGCCACAGAGCAGGAACGGGCCATGGGTTGTACGGGCCCACCCACGCCTCCCCGGAAGCGACACCACCGTCGACGCCTGGGCTATCACACTCAGAGGACAAGACCAAGCCATCCAGATCCAACGCTTCGTGCGTGGCGCGGGGGGCCCGACAACACAACCAACGTCGACTCGAAGATGGCGGTGGGGTGCCGACCCGCCCGCCCCACCCGCAGCACCCGATGGCGTGGCAGTACCTGGGGTGCACGACATGGACGTGGATTTGGACGCCGAGTACATGACCGACAAACAGAAACGACAGGAACAGCACGACCAGGAGGACATGGACTTCGACGGCCTCGCGGAGGAGACCCGGACCATTGAGAGGGCCAAGAGAACAGCCGCACGGGAGGCGGAAGACGCTAAAGTCATTGACAGGATCAAGAAAGTCCGGGGTGAAGCAGCGGCAGCGCCGGCCGAACAACCAGGGACTGCAGGCCCAGCGGCCGCGCCAGCAGCAAAGGCAGCGGCTAAGCCCGCCGCGAAGCCGCCGCCCAAGCGGAAGAACCCGTTCGAAGCCATCGACCTTGGTTCCAACGGAGGCGACTGCGGGTACCGGGCCCTGGCTGCAGGTTGGGCTCTGCTCGGGGGAGTCGCCAAGGCCACGCGGGAGAACACGCTGAACCCCGCCAAGCTCGAGAGAATGGCGACGACCCTACGAGCGCAACTTGCACTACGTATCAGCAACAACCAGGAGTTTTTCCAACATTACTGGGCCCACGTACCCCTGGGGGAGGGGAAGGAAGACGGGGCTATTCCGACCACCTGGGAGGAGTACGTCGCAGCGTGTAAAAGACCGAAGCGGTGGATCGACGGGCTGTCCTACCAGGCGGCATGCGACCACTTCAACCGACACATCTACAGCTACACAGGGGTGGGTGCTCAGCTCAACGACGTCAACTGGGTAGACAAGGTAACTTGGATCCCACAATCTCCGGACGCACAGCGAGCAGCACTACTGCAGCCCCCCCTCCACGTGGGTTGTTACACTTTACTGCCAGACGACGGCACCAGGCACAAGAAGGAGACCAAACGACCGAGCAAGGCACAGCTCGAGGAACGCATCCGCAAGATCTGCCGACACGGTGGCTCTACACGGAATGTTGACAGAGATTCCGACTCCGAGGACTCTTGGATGGCGACCTTGGCCCGGACACGGTCTTCGAGGAAGCGGAAGCAACCCGACACGCCGGACTCGTGGCTCGGCGACCTGGGGCCCACAGCGACTCCACGTACGACACGACGATCCACTCCTACCACGCCGCGCACTACGCGAAGCGCAGCAGCGACTACGCCCAAAGCCACACCGACCCGACGCTCGACGCCGAAGGGGGCCGCGAGTGGCAGCAAGGCGACACCGAAGGCCCTGGCCAGCGGCAGCAGCAGCACCACCAGACCACCACCTCCCAAGAAAGCAATCACATGCACCGACGCAGCTACACGCCTAACGTGGACGTGCGGTTTGTGTGGCGACACGATCACGGCACCTGTCAACACCGTGCCCCACGCGGTGGGATGGAGTTGGAAGGGCAAGGGAAAGAAACAGACCAGGAAGACACGGAAAGTCCACCCGGACTACCACATCACCCACGAGCGGGCGAAGCACCTACGGAAATGGCACCCTGGGAAAATTTGGCAAGACGCTGATAACTACCGACCTTCAGCGGAAGTGCCGCTTCTGTCCCACGACGCGCCCGACGACAAGGTCGCATGGACGTGCCCAGCGTGCGACATTCGCCAGCCTTTCTCGAAAAACACAATTACGTACAAGAAGATCCGGCGGGAGCACCGGCTGAAGAAACACCCCGAGTACGACGACCAACAACGGAGGTGCCCAGTGCAAAGGGCTGCTCTGCTGAAGAAGTCACCCGACGGCATGCTGGATACACGAGGTCAGCGGGACAAGAGATCCAAGAGCCAAGTAGTCCTGCGTCCACTGCCTGCCCACCAGATCCGGCCCCGAGCAGCGCGGCTGCGCCGAAAGCGGGAGGCACGAGAGAGGAAGAAAGCAGCAGGGCGCTGCTGAGGCGGAGCCAACCGCCACGACGACCAATCCCACGTCCGTCCTCCCTCCCCCTCCCCCTCCTCCCTCCCTTCCCCACTCTGCGGGATGTACCACGCCAGGCGGACTACAGAGGGCAGGCGCGACCAATACGCCAATAAAGATGGGATCGATCAATATCGCATCTTGGGCACAGCATGGCAGGGACCTTTTTGCTACCGCCGAGGAGCTGGAGCTGGATTTGCTGGTACTGCAGGAGCATGGGTGCCGGCATGCAGACATACCCAGGGCAAGCAAGCTCGCTGCTGACCACGGGTACGTATGGACGAGTGGAACCTCTTGTGACGACCATGTGGTGGGTACCGGGAGGAGTGGTAGAACACGGGACGAATGTGGTGGCATCGGTGTGTTGACGACGGGCCGTGTCCGGGTCACCCGGATCGCGTTTGAGCGCCGGACGGGCACTGGAGGGGCTGAAGCCGGGGGTGAGGGTGCCATCTTTCACATCCACACAGCTCACCGTACAGCACTGCTGGCTGTGGTACACTTGCGGGCAGCCGACGACGACGACGCACGGAATGGTATGCTACAGTGGGTGGCGGAACAGCACGTTACGATAGGAGGGGGGATCCCACTGCTGATCGTTGGCGACTACAACACTACGCCGGAAGATCCCATCATTACCGAGACTGCGCGGTTACTGGGGCTCCGGGTCCAGAGCCCAGGAGAGTCCACGAGGTGGGAATCGAGCTGGGAGATCGACTTTTTCATGGTCACGAAAACTATGACAACTACCAGGGCGGTGGCGAATACACATACATTCTCTGACCATTAGTTGGTGACAATGGATGTGCAGTTCGACGCTCCACAACCTAATGCCGTATGCTCGTGGCGGCGTGCGGCACGGTACGGTACGCTGAAACCAATTCAAGACGCAGCACGAGCGGACGCTCAAGGCAACGCAAGCACGACCACGACGCAAAGCACGAGCAGACCAGCAATTCAGCACGACCCACAACAACATTCAACACGCGATCATGGCGCAGACGCAGCACCACGCAGCACGCCCACGACGCAGCACGAGCAGACCCACAACGCAGCACCACCGACCCATGGGGACATCGTGGAGGGCCTGGCTGCCCAGTGGAGGGCTTTACCAGCTTACGACATCCATGACGGCACCGTGGATGAGTGGTGGACGGACTGGAGTGCACGAGCAGAGGCAGCACTACAATCCCAACCCGCGGTGGTCCTGACCAAGGGCGCTGTCCCTAAATCTGACTTCTCGTTTGCCCAGTGGGAGCGAAGGGAGAAAGGCGACGACGTCTGGACCCGGCACACGCGGCACCTGCGGCAACTCATCCAACGGCTCCGGTCCCCGCCGGCACGGCGAGGGCGGAAAGCAGCCAGGAAGATAGCACAGTGGGAACGGCAAAGTCGGAAGTTGTGGCAACAGACTATGGGCGGCGCCAAGCCGGACGACGACCAAGAAGCCATCGAACAAACTACCAAAGCGCTCGGCAAGGCCATCCAAGGGTGCAAGAACGAGCGTGTCAAATGCTGGCGGAAGAGGTTCCAGGCAGATGGTCTTGGGAAGACCACAGCAGCTTGGATCCGGAACGCAGTGAGCACCTACCACAACGTAGCTGTGCATGACGACACCAAGAGCGACCATGACAGCGGGAATTTGCAACTACACGACGACTCCACGCCCACCAACTACTTTTCACAAGACGCGGTGGAAAGAATACGAGACCACTATGAGCAGCACTTCGCGGAATGCGGCCGTGGCAACGATGTGGACGGGTATTTCTACCACTACGACGACTACATTGAGGAGGCACGCCAAGATGTTCAACGAGCACAGGAGAAGCACGACCATAGAGCACGACACGCCATGGCAGCCCTTGGCTGCTGGGACCACTGGGCGCCACCGGCGGCAGCACAATTCCGCCATATGCTACACTGAGGCACAGCAGCAGGGCCAGACCAATGGGCGCCCTCGGAGCTCATGCTCCTCCCGGAGGAGGCACTGGAAGAACTGGTTGACATCTGCACATACTCTGAGTACCACGGATGGCCGTCGCAACTCCTGCAGTGGCGCCAGGTCCACTTACCAAAAGACCCAGACACAGCACTCCCGAGCCTGACCCGACTACGCCCTATCGCAATCGCGAGCGCCGTGGCCCGCGCCTGGCACAGATGGAGGGCAGACCAATTGGCCACCTACCTCAGCCAAGCTTTCCTGCCCACGCAGGGGGGCGGTCTCAAAGGGCGAACCCTCGAATCCCTCATCGAGCCATGCCTCTCGCTCATTGAGGAGACAATCGCGGCGAACAGGTACAACGACGAGGACGGCTCGCTGACCGAGGAGGAGCAGCGGCTGGTTCGGGAGCGTCAAACGGAGCTGCACGTCAAGTCGTGGGATTATGCCTCCGCGTTCGACAGGGCTTCCCCCCGGGTCGTCTGCGAGGTCTGGTCGCGACTCGGAGTACCGACCAGAATCACCAACACTATCGAAGCGATCTGGACCAAGCAGGAGAGGTGGGTTCAGGTCGGCCCGCTCTTAACACCACGGACAATTCTGGTTGAAGACAGTCTGCCACAAGGGGATCCGGCAGCCATGCTCGGGATGGCCACCCTGCTCATGCGGCCACTACGACGGCAAGCTGCTCTGCACCCACGAGCAACCTTTTGCACCTTCGCGGACGACCGCACGGCGGCCACGACAGAGGCAGAAGAACTACGGAGCATCGAGCAGGAGTGGGAGCTGCTGGAGTCGGTCACCGCGCTGCGCACCAACGACAGCAAGACGCAGTCCTTCACGATGCTACCGCACCAGTGTGACAACCACCACCTGCAGAGCAAGAAGATGAAATGCCTCGGAATCGACTTCACGATGCAACGCACGACGCTCACGACCAGAGAGCGAGGCAAGCTTGAAGAGGCACCTGCCCGCATGAAGCGGATTGCGTGCCTGCCCCTGAGCATGCGGCTGCGCACGACCGCGGTGAGCACCATCGCGCTGCCGGTGTCGAGCTGGGCACTAGTGGTGACGCCACCGACACAAGGAGCTATCCAGGACCGTTTACGACAAGCACGAAAGGCTGTGACCCTGCGGAAATGGCCCTGGGCAGCTTCCGAACTACTCCGACTGGTAGTAATGGGGCATAGCACCGACCTACGGTACCACTTGTGCCGGCGAGCGCTACAGCTTCTGAGCAGCAGACTACGTCGACAGGGGCCTGGAGCACTTGCGCTTTGGGACAAGATCACGATCAAGACCGACACGCGGGGGCCATTCCACGCCTACCGAGCACACCTGGCATCGCTTGGAGCAGAGCGCAGCGACGACGGTTTCTGGAGAGGCCCGGCGGGAGAGCTTCGACTTACCGACAGAACAGACCGACAGTTCCACGAGCTACGACTCATATTCCGATCCCACGAATGGGCAATCCTACAGGGCCGGAACCGGCGGGAGAGTCCCATGGCGGCCGGAGTGCCCTTCCCAGCTGCTGCCGCGCGCGCGGCACAGGAAGCACGGAAAGCTAACCCAATCCTCGCCTCACACATCGCCGCCGTCCTTTGCGGCTGCGTGGTCTCGGACGCCCTGCTGCAGTCCAACCAAGGCGAGGAGGTCTCGACCACCTGCGACCACTGCGATGAGCAGCACGTCCCGACGCTCGACCACATGTACTGGGTGTGCACAGCCAACGCCGACCTCCGGCAGGGTAACGCGGTACCGACGGTTGACCTCACCCGCCGGCTGGGTTGGCCGACAGAGGACCTCACCAGGAGGACCACGACCACTTGGAAATGGTGTTGGCTATGGCAAGCATGCGGCAGCGTGCGCTGGACCACCGACACAAGAAACCACATGCACCCAATTCCTCCGATCATAGTTTATAACCCTTCTCAAAGGTTATTCTTTGGATTACATGTGTCAACAATTGGTTTATGTTGTATTTTAGTTATTCCTTGGGCTGGTGCCTTCTGTTCTCCAGTTACACTGTCTACATATATGTGGGATTACATTACATACTTACGTAATTGCATGTGCTGCGTACCATAAGTGGGGACCGCCACACAATGGTCGCCGCAGCTCTTCGAGCTGCGTGGTGTCCTCACACGCCTACGGATTGGGGACACAGATTGGTTATACCCCCTCCTTTGTTTTAACAAAGCCATACAAGCCACATTCTGCTTCCAAATACGGGGCATGCGCAGCCAACCCGATGCGGCCTCCCCCCACCATCCTTGACAAAAACAATACAGAGTACACTTGGCGGCGGCGGCGGCGGCTGCGGCGGCGGCGGCGACAGCTGCGGCGGTTGCGGCGATGGCGGTGGCGGCGGCGGGGGCGTCAGCGGCGTTGGCGGCGGCGGCGGCGGCGGGTGCGGCGGCGGCGGCGGCGGTGGCGGCGGCGGCGGCGGTGGCGGTGGCGGCAGCGGCTGCGGCAGCAGCGGCTGCGGCGGCGGCGATTTGGCGGCGGCGGCGGCGGCGGGCGGCGCGGCGGCGGCGACGGTTGCGGCGGCGGCGGCGGCGGCGGCGCGGCGGCGGCGGCAGGCAGCAGCGGCGGCGGCGGCGGAGGCGACGGCGGGGGCGTCGGATCGGCCCCCAGTAGTTGCCCATCCAAAGACGATTGCTGAATATGTTGAGGCTCGGGCCAAACCCAGGTGCTACGTCTGTGTTGGGAGGGCTGTTGGGAGTGAGCGAGACGGCCTGCGGGCGGGGAGGGAGTCTTGACCCCTCCCCTTTCCTGCTCCCCTGGACCTGGACGGGGGGGTCCCCTAAAAATGGCCTTGGCGAGGAAGCCAAAATCATTGTT